ATATCTTGGAAAAGAAAAAAAATATAAATAATTTTTTATATCAAATAAATATCTTGGAGATAATATAAAGTTGGGGGTTTTTTTGGAATCACGTTTGTACAATCACTTTTTCAATTTTAAGAAAACGAAATCATACCATGTTCCATGTGACACTGGAAGAAAATATGATTGGCCAAATTTTATGCGTTGAAAAAAAAATTGGCTGAAAAACCTGGCGAGAGCTTTATTAAATAGTCGTATAACTTACAAATTATACAATATGTGCATTTTAACTTTTATACAGGATTAAGTGATATCAATGATGCTATTTTTCAACTAACATATAGCATATTATTATATCAATAATAATTTTTATTCCTTTAATTAAATAATTTATCAGGCTGCCATAAAATTACATTTAATCTTTAAAAAAAAAAAAAAAAAATAGAATTTAAATAAAAATAGTATCTTGATAATATCATTGGAAATATAAATTTCCTTGCCAATTCTATAGATGTTCATATATCATTATTTTATTGTTAAATAATAAATAAATTTCAAAGACCATACAGTAAAAATAAATAAACAATGATTCACATACAAGAAAGAGGCAGTAAGTGAGGACCAAAGTAAATTGTAAACTAATTAATTGATAAGCATCAAATTGTTGTGAGTTGCTTGCAATTAACTGACAAGAGTAGTCCAAAAGTTAAGCTGTAACCAGCATTAACCAAAAGACTACCTTGCAATATCACCATTTAACAAGAATCAGAAAACTGTAAAAAGCTTATTATAAGAAATATTATTATAATTTAGAAAAATAAAATAAAAATATAAATAGCTATAATGAATAAATGGGGATGGAATCCAAAGAATTCAAATATAATTTTGGCCACTAATAAAATTAATTCCGGCTATTTTGGCATTTTTTAATTCGGCAACAATCATTTACTAAGAGAAGCAATTTCAGCTAGCAACTATGGATGGTTTTATAAATTTTTTAATATAAGGTAATGATTATTTTGAATGTAAGGTTTACTAGATGGGTTACTGCCGCAGCTGTGTCAAATTCATATATAAACTAAATTTTTTGCCAATGATTATTTAAGAGTCTATTTTCTTGAACTCAGCTCGAACTTGAAAATTCAAGTTTTAACTCGAGTCTGCCCAACTTAAAAAATAAAACGAGAAAAGAATGATTCGAATGTAGGAACTTAAGAAAAAACAAAGATAATAGACGGGTCATTATTATTATAAAATTTGTTAATAGTGTTATGATCCATTGTAATACAGATGTACACTTTGTTGGGTTTGCCACTCAAAATCATTTTTGGTCCTTTTCCATTCTCTACGCCACATATATTTAGTCAATGCAGCCCGGAATACAAGAAAGATCTTGTCGATGAATTCTGCTGGTGGGCAGGTGCTTGTGCCATTTAATCTACTAGATAATCAGGAAGATGTTGTTGATTCGGACATAACCCATTTTGCTTATCTAGATCATTCATTTACTACGAGGATAATAATAAGTTAGGCCTAGCCTCTTATGGGTGTTTACAAAAACAATATACAAAGCTCACAAATTCTAATGATTTTGACATGTAACCATAAATTACAGATATTGCGATTGTGTTTCATTTAATACCACAATCATTTTTTATTCATTTGTATTGTTCTGCTTATATAAATTTTGGCTTACAATTTAAATAAATAAATAAATAAATAAAATTTATCTCATGGTTACCTAGTATTTGTAAATAGTATTAATCAATTAGAATTGTTATTATGATTAAAAATATGAAATATTAAATGGGATGAAAACTCACGAGTTCTTCAGCTGCAGTAGGATGAATTGCAACAGTACTATCAAAATCTTCTTTTGTAGCACCCATTTTAACAGCAACAGAAAAACCTTGCAGCTGTTTTAATTTTTTAAGAAATTATTGTTATTGAATGATGGTGATAACAATGAAAAACAACGATAATAATAAAACATTTATACAATTTCTGCTGAATCTCTTCCCACAATGTGAACACCAACAACTTTTTCTTCTTCACCGACAACCACAAGTTTATATGCTGTTGCAGGTTCTTGATAAATTAAACAAAAGGAAATGATGATTAATGATGGTAAATAATAACAAACATTTAAAATAATTAGGAAAAAAAACGTACTGTGTTTTGTCATTGAATTATATAAATTTACAAACTTAGAAGTATAAGTTTTAACATTCTCTTCTCCATATTTATTCCTTGCTTCTGGTTCAGTCAAACCAACTGTTCCACAAGTACCGTGAAACACAACAGTTGGAATATTGTTGTAGTCAAGTTTAGCCTTAGCAAATTTTGAAGGACCAAATAAACGATCTGACAAACGGCGACCAGCTCCAATTGCAACTGTTTTTGTTTTAAAGAAAAATTATTATTTGCCACAATCAATGTAAAATAGTAAAAATTTAAAAAAAAATTTTTATTTTTACCAGGAGTCAATTGAGCAACACCACAAACATCACCTAAAGCATATATGTCTTCTACTACAGTGTTTTGATATTCATCTGTGTAAATATAACCTTTTTCATTCAATTTTATTCCTATATGATCTAAATTAAGACCCTCAATATGTGGTTTTCTGCCAATAGCCCATAATATTACATCAAATTCTTCTGTTGTTTCGTTTGTTTCTTTTGAAGAAAGTTTGACTTTTAAGGAAGAACCTGGATTGTCACGTGATACACTGTGGACATGAGAATGAGTTAAAAGACGAATACCCTCTGATTTTGTTTGTTCTAAAAGGACATCTTTGATTATAGGATCAAAGGTTCTTAAAATTTCACCCGAACGAGTAACTAATGTAGTATTTGTGCCTATTTATATATAGTGAAATTGAATTTGTAGGAATGACATTTGAAAATAAAGCCCATTTTTTTTCATATAAGATGTTACCTAAAGCATTGAAAACACCTGCTAATTCAACACCAATATAACCTGTTCCAACTACTAAAACTTTATTTGGCTGTTCTTCAAGACTAAAGAAACCATCACTTGTAATTCCAAGTTCGGCTCCAGGGATTGTATCAACAGGAACATGAGGATACCCCCCTAAATAGAAATGCGTGCGTGTGCATGTAAAAATAAAAACGTATTATTAGTAAATTATACAACAAACAAACAAAGCTGTGATATAGGGAAGAGATTCATTCTACCTGTAGCAATTAGAATTTTTTTAGCTTCAACTTCCATAACATTTCCTTGATTCACCACACGAACCACATTTTTGCTTATAAAACTAGCCTTTCCATGAATATAATCGACATTATCTTTTAAAAGATTTCTCTCGTAAATCCCATTAAGACGTTGAATATAAGCATCACGCTTTTGTTTAAGATAATTCCAATTAAATTTTGGAACAGAATTTAAATCAAATCCGTATTGTTTTGCATCATGTAATGCTTCAGCAATCATAGCTAAGCACAAGCATAACAAACACACACAACACACACATATATACAAGTTATTTAAGTTATAAAAGATTATTAATTTATTTTTATTGGTTGAAAAGAGTAACAACTTACCAGTATTGAACATGATTTTTTTAGGAACACAACCGACGTTAACACAAGTACCGCCTAACCTACCACTTGACTCGATCAAACCAACTTTAGCACCATATTGGCCAGCACGTCTTGCTGAAGCCAAACCACCACTTCCGCCACCAATAACCAAATAATCATATTTCTTGTCAATTACCGGAGGCATGAACGAAAAACTTTTATAAAGTTGTAGAAGGCGGTTTTTGGTGGACACGATGATGTATTATAATTTTTTTGTAGGTGAGAGAAGAGGAAAGAGATATAAAATATGATTTTTTTTTTGATAAAAATCAAAAATTTTTACATTTTATTTTATTTTATTTTTTTTTTTGGATAAATTTTTTAAAAAAACCCCCCTTTTAAACTAAAATTTAACCCCCCAAACATTTTATACAAGTTAAAATACAAATTAAAATCTTTATTTCTGACCACGTGCTTGTTTGAAACGGTTTGCACGATCTTCTTCAGTATCTAGAAATATCAATCAATCAATATATATATAATATAGTTAATATATATAATAAATAATTGATGAAATAAAATAAAATAAAATAAAATAAAAAAAGAATGCATACCACAAGTGATAGAAGTGCCGCGAGAATTAACAAGAGGTAATACAAAACATTTCAAGCCAGCTGCACAAGATTGTAAGGAGAATCTTGGTTTTACAGAACCGTCTACAACCGTGTCAGTACATTTAGCAAATTGACCATTAATACAAGCGGTTTCATTTGGTGAACATTTTTGATCAGGTTTGAAGGTTTTGAATTTTTTTTCTAATGCATCAGCGTCATCAGCATTCAATTTACGAATTTTGGTTATGTCGTTAGGCGTTGATTTTTTAGGTGATCTTTTGGCAGGTTTTTTACCACGAGCTTCGTCCAATCTTCTTTTTTGTTCCTGTTTGGTAGCTATAATCAATAGGAAGAGAAGAAAGTATGATTAATTAATTAAAAAGTATATATATATATACAGTACAGTCAGTATATACAGTATATAAACATGTAAATATACACGTACCACAAGTAATGGATGTGCCACGTTTCAAAACCAAGGGTAATACAACGCATTCCAAACTACCACAAGAAGTGGTGACGAATTTATCGACATTTTTACCATTTTCTACTGTAGTTACGCATTGGGCAAAATCTTTGCCAATACAAGCTTCATCATTAGCAACGCATTTTGTATTTTTGGTAAAAGCTTGGAATTTCTTTTGTAATGCTTCAGCGTCATCGGCATTCAGTTCTTGAATACTTTTTTGAGCCGATGTACCAACAACATAATAAAATGCAAGAGCTACCGAGAAAAGTGTAATGAATTTCATTTTTAGATTTTTTATATTGGAAGAAATCTTGAAATGCTACCAGAGCTATTATATGTTATTATGTTATTTATAAATAATAAATCAATATAAACAAAATTCCAGATTTCGTTTGTTAAAAAATGCTTGGAAAGTAGGTGGGAGATGGTTAAAGAGAGATAGGGGAGAAAAAATAGACAAATAATTATTAAAAAAAAAAATGTTGTTGAGCCTACATCGAGTGAATTTATATAAATTGTATACAATAACAAATAAATATATTGTACAATGTATATGATTGTCTTATTGGTTTCGGTGTGTTTGTTTGTTTGTTTATCTTGTATGGTAAAACATTAAAATTAAAAACCGGTCCTACTTGTATCAGAAAATCTAAAACTGTAAAAGTCTGGATGCCAAGAAGCGAAAGGCCGTTGTCCAGATCGTTCAGGCGGGTTAATGTTATTCTATATATTAATATACACATGTAGAAAATTTCTTAATATTAATATTCACTGTGTATACACACTCAATAAAAGGGTTTTATCAAGAAGTTCACTCACTGTAACGAGCAAAATTTATTATTGGGAACATTCACTGTAAAGCCATTTCCACTGTAACGTAACGAACTTTGACTGTGCATGGGTGGAGCATACTGTAACAAAACCAAACAGAGCATAAAAATTTCAGGGTTCAAAACTTGGATATTGACAATGTAATTTAACGACTCTATTATAAATAATGAATGAGTGCTTTCTTTATCTTTGTTTGCTCGATATAGTGAATTTTTATCTATGCAGATACTTTCTAAATTTGGATAAAATTTTGCTGTATTTTAATTAATTGCATTATTCAAAAAACCTTTGTTTTATTGGATTGGCAATCAAGGTAAAATAAACAAACCCCTTGTATTTACAAGTTTTTCGCAATAATAATTTAATAGAAAAATGATTGCTTTCAACTAAAGATGGGGGCTGCAATTAATTGAGAAGCCATCTTTTTTACTTTCAACAGGGTTGAGTTCCTTGGTTAACTATAAAACTTACAAAAACCAATTATGATATCAAAAAGTTGAGTTAATTACTGCTTCGACTCCAAATATTTAACCGACGATCTGCCAATGGAACAGCGGGGAATTATTATCGATATTCTCTGATTGCACAAAAACAATCCGATTATCTCGATATCTGAATTTGAACCGACGTCCGAATACCCGAATTTGAGAAGGTGTTCGAATATCCATTTAAACCCAAATGACTGTAATACACAGAAATTTTGGCATTGCTAAGGATCTACTTGACAAAACGGATATAAATCAAAAATTTATGCTTGTGATATAACGAAAAAAAAAAATACTATCGCCATTCAATTCATATATGAAATAAATTATTATCATAGTCCATATTGTCAATTGAATATAAATGTGACAAGGAGATGATGATGATGAAATTATATTTGGTCGAGATCCTGTCTGTCAACAAATTATTATATATTACCGTTACCATTGGTTTGGATCTACAGTGTGTTACAAAAAAATGGAATAAACGATTTTTGTTGGAAATATGAATATGTTAATAAGAAATATTTCATCGTTGCTTTTAATTATAAGTTGTCATGTTTGATTTTTTTGACCAATTATAATTATTGTTGCCAAAAATTTTCAGTGTGGTGCCACGTGATTTCAGTAGTAATCTTGTTTCTACCATACATAAGCCACATCATCTGTTCAACTTATTGAGAATAGAACGTATTAGCATGTAATTTGGCGTAATTTACGGCGTTCCCTTTATTTCTAATAATACAACTGGCAACTCTATTATCAAAAAAGAATGTAAAAAAGGTAAAGCTTTGGAATCTTATTTGATGCAAATCGACCACAGAGAAATGTGCACTTTTGGAGTCATCATTTCAAAACCATCATAACTCTCCCCATAAATCTTGAAAGCATCGCAAATTGAACAATATTTCTTTAGAGGTTGGAATCGTCCAAAAAATCCTTAGTCGACTACTAGTTGGCCAAAATTTTCTTTAGTCGATTAAATTTTTTTTTATATATATAATAATAATATTTCGTTTTTTTTTTTTAACATTAATTTGCAAATTACGAATTTATTTCCATTTGAATCTTTCACTTTTTCAAAATACTTCTCGTTTTTTTAAAGGTCTTCTGGAACCACCGCTTAAATCATTGGAACTTGAAACCAATGAACTATTTGACCATGTATTGGAAGTTCTCATTCATTCACATGTAAAGTTATTATCAACAACACACTACTATTGTCGTCATCGTAATATTGATGGTACTGATACTCTTCCGCATAGAAATCTTACATTTTAAATGATAAAACACAAAAATCGTAAAGACAATGATAATATTAGTATAGTATTAGTATTAGTATGGTACTAGTATTAGTAGTATTAGTAGTCTACTAAATGATCGACTATTAGTTGTTTCAAAAAAAAGTTTAGTCGACTATCAACGGCCAAGCATATTCGTTTTTCTACAGGAGGAAAATTTTGTACTGTCATTCTGGATTCTATCGGAAGGTAATTCTTGTTCGCAATTGACTTTGTAAAATGTAAGCTTTGTACCGACAACACGAACCGCATATAGTACTAGCGGAAACGTTACCTGCCTCCCGTCAACACTAGTAGTCGTGTGACATATCCCCGAGGCTGCTTTTCTATATTAATATTAATATGTGAAAATAAATTCGAAATTCGTGTCACATGAAGTTTTTTTAAAATATCTCGTTATTTTTATAATA